ATTAATGAGTATGCAAATGTGAATAATGAGTAATGCAAATGTGATTAATGTGTGATGCAAATGTGATTAATGTGTGATGCAAATGTGATAAATGAGTGATGCAAATGTAATAAATGTGTGATGCAAATGTGATAAATGAGTGATGCAAATATGATAAATGTGTGATGCAAATGTGATTAATGAGTAATGCAAATGTGATTAATGTGTGATGCAAATGTGATAAATGAGTAATGCAAATGTGATAAATGTGTGATGCAAATGTGATAAATGAGTGATGCAAATGTGATTAATGTGTGATGCAAATGTGATTAATGAGTAATGCAAATGTGATTAATGTGTAATGCAAATGTGATAAATGAGTGATGCTAATGTGATTAATGAGTAATGCAAATGTGATTAATGTGTGATGCTAATGTGATAAATGAGTGATGCAAATGTGATAAATGAGTAATGCAAATGTGATAAATGTGTGATGCAAATGTGATTAATGTGTGATGCAAATGTGATTAATGTGTGATGCAAATGTGATTAGAGTGTGATGCAAATGTGATAAATGAGTAATGCAAATATGATAAATGAGAGATGCAAATGTGATAAATGAGTGATGCAAATGTGATAAATGAGTGATGCAAATGTGATAAATGAGTGATGCAAATGTGATAAATGAGTGATGCAAATGTGATAAATGAGTGATGCAAATGTGATTAATGTGTAATACAAATGTGATAAATGAGTGATGCAAATGTGTGCAACATGTTAGATGAAAGCCCACCAGACTGCTCATGAACATCACAAGAAGCACAACTTTGACATATCTTAAAAATAAATCTCCACCACCCAAGAAAGTGCCATGTGTGACGTTCAGGGTATATTTCACTGTAGTGTAATGTATTACCTTTATCTCATTGCAGTCTTATATATCAGTACACAGAAGAGGAAATACTAGCCATGTTGAAGTCAGCTGTGATTATTTATACATGAAACCTTAGAAGAGAATTTCTTTTTTTGAGTTTACACCATGTACTCACTGTAAAATACTTTATTTTAGCTCGAATTAAATAGCAAAAGTGAATTCCAAGTGAAAATAAAGTATTCTACAGTAACTATTTTCATAGTATAGTGTCCATCAGCTAAGTTTTATTGATTGACACTAAATAACTAAGGATTAAGGGCATTTATCTGGCATGACATGATAAAAATACTACTAGTACTGTTCATAAGACTTACGTGAGAACGACAAATTTCAGCTATTTCTACAAATCCTTTACTAATGTAATCAAGTCTGTGGGAGAAATTATGCCGGTTGCGTTGTGTTTCTCAAGATCTTGAATATAACCACAACCTTTTCTGTTCCACAACACTATCAGCAAAAGAAGTTTTATTGATACACATGGAGTGAAGTTTGTATTCAATTATAAATTGCACACTCAAAAAGACAGGAGTTCACATAGTGTGATTTCAGTTAGTTCTTCATCACTCCTTGCATGGTTATGAAAGTTGGATGTCCTTATCTTTTATCTATCGTTGATATGTCATATTTGCTCTATTACATTTCTAATGAAAATGAAACTAAACCCAAACTTGCATTTATTGTATAGTGCATCTCTCAACAACGATAAATAACAAAGATACTATCAGAAAACTACAATTAGACAAAACAAATTAATCGCATTTTTAGTTTTGTGAATTTTTTTTTTTTTTTTTTGGAAATCACAAATTTAAAAGCATGTGCATATTTATTTTGATTCTACAGTACCCTCAAGTTAGGGAAAACTGTCAAAATTGATTTTGCAGTGAAAATGTAACTGCGTTTTTTTAGACAGTAAGTCAAGGCGACAAGAATACAATTGGCTACAGTATGTTGTGTACAAGATTGAAATATTATCAAACTTGTACGCCATCTTGTTCTTTTACCAGATGCATTTTAAAATTTATAGATGTGAACTTGATTTTTGACATCTTTGTTATAAACCTATTGTATTTTTTTTTCAATATCTGCGTAAGGACTTCTTTGTTTCAGCATCTTTTCAGATGTAGAGTCGAAAATTATGTGAAAATGTGAAAGCAAATTGAAAATGGCGATCATAGCAATTTCATTTTCTATGTATTTATCAAAGTAAAGTTTCTTTTTTAAGGTGGCTTTCTAGAGTTTGCCTACTGAGTATTCAGGATTTATGGCTTTTTGCTGACAAGTCTTAAACTACAAAACGCCTCTCCACAGAGAGCAGTGTTAAACAAAGCATGCCTATTTTACACATACGGATAATGAGTTCTTTTCTCTAATTTTAGCAAGAATCACAATTTTTTTTTAAATCAAATAGTATGTTGTATGATGTCAGTACTTAAATATCCTAAAAAAATTACACCAAATTAATTACACTAATATTGGTAACAATGCAAAAGTTGACCAAGCTAAGTACTTGTGTAGAGCACCCCCTAAGTTCATACTAATTTATTGCTCTTTGGATCAGTTCTTGTTGTGCTTTACCTACTAATGTAATTAATCAAGGATTTATAAGACAATGGATGCAACTATCATAATATGTTGATATGCGATGAAGTTCTCAAGGGAAGCGAACTCCCATTCTTTATGTACCTGATGCAGTGCACGTCAGTTGAACATATTTGTAACCAATAGTGTCACAGAAAACAGTGGATACTAGGAAGTGCACAATTACGTTAACAAAAATGAGTGTGATTTTTGTCTCGTTTAAAAATCTGAAATGTATGTATTGCATGCTTTGCCAATAATCAAGAATATTACCAAAAAAATGTTGTGAGATGAGATCCTTGAAATGAACACAAATCATTTTTTTTTGACAGACTAATTTCCATAAGGATTTCTAGAAATGTAGATATCTCTTGCGATTTCGTTGACTTCAAGTCTTGCCAGGTCTTCATTGCATATCACACACTTGCGTTCACTGGTCTCATAAATTCATGACACGATGTGTAGATTGCCAAGGATCGGTAAATTCAGTTTGACTGGCATTCATTGTGATGGCATGCAAGTATTAATGTGATGTATGTTTAACTGCCTGACAAGTTGTCGGTTTAAATCTGTAGAGGGCGACTTACTATGCCAACCAGTATAAGAGTGTATGACATATTTCGTTCATTGAGCTACACCAGCCAACGATCTGCTGTGACAATGTTTCTCATATGTTTTATTAACATCCAGCTGCTGAAAGATAGCCATATGAATGAGGTTATTACGAGGATACCTCAAAGTATGCACAAGACAGTACAGCGGGAGTATCGATTGACACGCAGCGAAGGTCGATGCGCCGCTTACTGTCTGAGTGCATACTCCTCGTAATAACCTTACTATTATACATCTTTTCCTTCCAAGGATACATCATAGGAATGCCAAAATCCAAAAAGTTCAGAAAAGAATCAGCAAACTTCTTTGTGTGGAGTTCAGTAAAATCCTGGTGGCAGCCATGTTTGTTTTATTATTAGTGGATGCTTACGTGCGTAATCATTCCATATTTAGAATTCACATTTCCCTATATGGTAGGATGATATACACCATAAAATAACGCAAAATTATGGCCAGCTGTAACTTATGGCGTTACGGTGACAGATGTATAATAATGACATATAATAGCATCAGCAGATGATGTATTACAGGAACACATGTATATTTAAATAAGTCTAAACAACAACATGTTCTTGTCAAGCAGTCACTGTGAAAAACGTGTGACGACCTATAGTGTGCAATTATATTTTAACATCTTGTGTGCAAGTTAACATTGCCATGCAGCCTCTTTCCTAACAAACTTTTCTTTTTTAACTTGGATTTCTTTTATTATTTGAATAAACATACATTTTTTTGAATATATTACGGTATGCATCTTGTATTTGATGGAACAGACCCTTGTTGTGTAAAGAAAAGATGGCAATCAGATTTCAGTATGCAAATTACACTCCATGGCAATGCATCTGGTTGGAGTGCTCTGAGAATTCTTCTTTTTGATAATCATAATGTATGAGATACTTTATTTTTTATGTGCAAGCTGTTCATGAATATTTATAGAATACATTTTTGATGTAAGTTTTCTGAAAGGTTTTCAGCTTTTTCTTCGATATCCCAAGTACAAATAATTTTGAATTAATTATTAATGTGTCTACAATACTCTCAGCACACAGGAGTTCTTTCTAAAGCTTTCTTTGATTATGCATATCTGACTGCGATATGGCAACCAGCCGGCCTTCTTCAAACAAATTAATGTGAGCATGTGTGATGTTGTATGAACTGGATTCACTTGGCCATGTAAAACAAAATGTCCTCCATTGAGGGTCCATGATGTAAATGATAAACGAACGATTTTTATGTTCCCAGCACCAAAGATGTTGCCAATTTGGCCATCTTTTATTGGATTACAAAAAAAATGTGAGTGGGTATGTATCCCGAGATGTGTTGCATAACTGTTCAGTGCACACATACCTGGGTTGTGGCAATAGAATGACATACAATAAAACAAAATGTTGATCATTTTGAATAAGATTTACAGGCAAAGTGACATGCATCTAATTCCCCCAATGTCCAATACATTGATACATGTCCAGTTATGAGCGAAATCTGTCAACACAAGATTGAGATCTGATTTCAGAATTCTAGAATTACTTGATTACTTAAATGAATTATTAGTTTATTAAAATGGCCGCCATTCGAACACCTTAAACCACAAAACAAACGTGCGTTTATATGTATCCACAGTCCCTCTATCACAGAGGGACTGTGATGTATCCTAAGTTGCAGTATGAATTCGTGTAATATGAACATGATCAGTAAGGGCATGTCCAAATACAGGAGTGGACATAGGTTAAGTCATCGTTTTGAGGATTACTCTTCTAATTTGTTTCTGAAAATGAGATGTATAGTGAATTGGGATGGAACACATTTTCAACCAGTTTATTGTAAAAATAAGAACGAACAATCATATTTACATCGCAGATCACCTGCTAGAATGAAACGTCTGAAAAAAAATTAAAACTATTTGATCGTCGTATGTTGCCCCTGCAACAAATTCTGGGTGTAAATGGACCACATATTTGTTTTTTATTGCTAATTATATAAATATTTAAGAACAATTTTCTGCCAAAAGTTAGATCGACGAAGTGAAACCCGGAAAGTACAATTAGATACCTGTGATACGTAATTCTCGTAATTGAAATGTTAATTGATAATTAATAGCAAGGGAACCATTGTCTCTTCAGTGTTTGTTTTGCAATAACCCAGGTATCGCCATTTATACACTCACATAATAGTTTACTTTTTTTGAAGAAAAAACACCTAAAACAAGAAAAAGACTGTATACAAATCTAAGATAATACTAAACTATTTCAAACGTGTGTTATATTTAGAACCCCACGCTGAACCCACAACTTTTATAAGATTAATCCTTCGCCAGGACAATCAAATTATCTTTTTTCCCAGTGAGTCCAAGTGTAATAGAAATCCCGGGTTATGCACAGCGACTGCGACTGATATGTACGAACTGTACGACCATAATGAACATATTCTTATATTGTATGTTCAGAATGTTTGTAATCATATATCATGTAATGTACATATTGTGTGTGAAATTACAGTTGTAATGTTTTGGGCGCGACACAAGTCTAAAACAACTCGAGTTCAATGCTACCCTGTTATTTTCAGATGATTCCTTAAAATACTAAAAAATCTATCTACAGAGGTAAAACGAGTTAAATGTTATTCTAACAACATATGCATCTTAGTTTTGAAAGTTGAGAAAAGGGGAATACGGTAGTACATATGCTGTACCAATGTTTTATAAGGCATTGCGTGACGGCATTTTTTTTTATTGTTTTTACTGTTCCGTTGTCGATAGCATGTCTTTTCTTATTTGGTCGTACCGAGAAAACAAAGACAAAAAAGGAAAACTCTACAGCGTTACAAACGGGCGGAATGTGTTAAAATATTGCGTTTCTAATAGTCGGAATAGTTAAAATAGAAGAATATTGTCATGATATTTTCAGTTTAGCAGTCTGATCCAAAATTACAACGTAATGTTTTAAGATTTTAATAAGCGTGGTTTCCCCACCGGCGGAACTAGTATAAGTTGGCCACGCCTAAATTACCTCGATTTCAAGGTAGTGATGAATTAAACTATGTCTTATATCACATGATATCACAAACTAATATTCATAAAAAAAAACGATGCATTCAATATCCTAAAATAGTTAGGTAAGTTAGTAACAACACTTGAAATGGACAAACCAGAAGTAGGACTAGTTTCAGTTGCCATCACAACTCAGTACTCATCTAACTGGGGGAAAACGAGTTGAAAAAACTATTTGGAGTTTTTAATACATGCTGCTTCACAACATGTATATCATCTGAAAGTAGACGTATACGGTAATCCATATGCCGTAAAAAGTTTGCCTATTAAATTACTAATTTTGTAAGTAAAAGAAATCTAAAAGTGGTGGCACTACCGTATTCGCCTATATCTGAGCTTTTGGGTGATGTGTAATGATGTTATAGTAGCATGTAACTGTTTGAGAATGTCAGAATCACATATCAATTTTAACTCGCTGTTCCCCAGTTACTAACTTAAATGTTTGAGAAGCGCCCTCACTACATACTCGTAATACTTCACTGTCTCTTGCGTGTCGTATCAAACGTGTCGTAATATCCTGTCATACATGACGCAATATCGTATCAAACGTGTCGTAATATCCTGTCATACATGACGCAATATCGTATCAAACGTGACGTAATATCCTGTCATACATGACGCAATA